CCACGGCTGCAGCCAGTGCGGCAAGTCCTACGCCACCTCCTCCAACCTGAGCCGGCACAAGCAGACGCACCGCAGCCTGGACAGCAAGATGGCACGGAAGTGCCCGACCTGCGGCAAGGCCTACGTGTCCATGCCGGCCCTGGCCATGCACGTGCTGACCCACAACCTCAAGCACAAGTGCGGCGTCTGTGGGAGACGCACCGCAGCCTGGACAGCAAGATGGCACGGAAGTGCCCGACCTGCGGCAAGGCCTACGTGTCCATGCCGGCCCTGGCCATGCACGTGCTGACCCACAACCTCAAGCACAAGTGCGGCGTCTGTGGGAAGGCCTTCAGCCGGCCCTGGCTGCTGCAGGGCCACATGCGGTCGCACACGGGTGAGAAGCCCTTCGGCTGTGCCCACTGCGGGAAGGCCTTCGCCGACCGCTCCAACCTGCGCGCCCACATGCAGACTCACTCGGCCTTCAAGCACTTCAAGTGCAAGCAGTGCGAGAAGACCTTCGCCCTCAAGTCATACCTCCACAAGCACTACGAATCCGCCTGCCTCAAGGGCTCCGAACACACCTGCGCCCTGGAGAACTGAGCCCCCCGGCCCGGCGCAGGGCAGGGGACCGGCGGGTGGAGAAGAGGAGCCGTCGTGGGCCGGGAAGCAAGGGTTCCCCTCTACCCTCCGCCGGCCACTCCCCCGGGGCCTTTTGCAGCTGGGGCTTGGAAAGAAGTGCTTTCCCGGGGATGCTCCCACAGACCAGTGCCTGCCTGGGGCAGGACATGTGTTTGTCTCCTCCACTTCCCAGCCGGGGGGATTGCTGTGCAACACAACTGCACCCAGAGCTGGCTCCAGGGGTTTCCCACCCGGAGCCCCTCGCTCCTTGCTCCCGTGCAGCCCTGGCCTGGCTGGCCGCAGCAATAGCTCCTGGCTCTCTAGGGAAATCCCAGTGGGGTTTTCTCCAGAGCGGGGCTGCTAACGGAGTCTCTCTGGGCTGCTCATCAGGACAAAAGAGACGCTGCTGTCTCTCCGAAACTCCTCCTATATTTATTTAATTTATTGTCGTATTTATTTCGTGCTGCTGCTTCTCCCCAGGGGGAAAGGAATGGTCTTCGACTTCAGCCGGAGCA